GATATTACAGCTTCCCTCAGTTTTAAAACATTATATAAAAGCCTTTCCCTTGTGATGAGAACCATGTCTCTCCACCACTTTTCTCCAGCAATAGAAGGTCCACGTTGTGTGTGTGACTTCATATGGACCAACTGCTGCATCTGCATGCAAGAAGCTCTCTAATTTTGTGGTCTTTCTGATTTCTCCGCTCCCACCCTTCTTGTCTTTTGTTTTCAGTGCAAATAAGATTTCCTTTATATTTTACCAATAAAATATCAGCCCCTTTGAGATTATTGCCCATGGAAAAAAATTAAGAGTTCGGACCAGGAATCAATGTTCTTCCCAGAAACAGAGCTGGAAAGTGAATAATCTTAATCAAATGTGATGGGAAAGCAAAAAGGCAGATGGACAGCTGAGTTCTCAAGTAACTTCTGTACATTTCAGTTGCCATCACTGATCTAGTCCCTGTTTGTGCTGCCTTAAAAACTAATGCCAAGTGGACAGCTCCAGAGCAGATGATGCTGTATGTTACTCTGGGCAGGAGTTACCAGCCATCCAGGGACTGGTATCAAAACAGAGTTAGTGTGACTCTGCATGTATTCTCCTGTTAAACAATGCAAATCTGACAAATGAATAAAGCTCAGCGGTAACCCACGTACCGTGAGCATGTACCCTCAAACAGTTTTGCAAATTGGGACAGAGTTATAATTGGCCTTGCTGAAGTGGCCTTTGTTTTCCACAGCTGTTACATCAAATAACTCCTCTAATTCATGACACCTGAATAAACGTCAGGAAAACCAGTCTGGAATTTGCATTCCACTATCTGCAGCCACCCTGCAGCCCAGCCTGGGCAAAGTCCCTTCCCTGATCCCTACACTGTAGTCAACTCTAATGATTAAAAAATGCTACTGGACTAAAAATACATCCCACTGATAACAGGCTTGTTTGGAGACTTGAGCTGTACCTCAGCATGGCCTGCAATAGTTGTAACTCTGCTTGGCTTTAGGTTCCATTTAGGTATCTTTTTTCACTTAAAATATTCCCTGATTGCTCCAAAGCATGTTAGGCTAGAAGTTACAAGACTCCATACAGAAGAAGAAAAAGAATACGTCTGAACTGGTCAACACCAGCTTTTTACAAACAGAATGCAATATCAAAGAAAGATTATAAAAACATCCCTTTGGGATAGTTTTTACTGTTACTTGGATTTCATCATCTCTGTTTTGTCCTCTGGTTCAATTATTTCCAACAAAAAAGAAAATATTTGGCTTCTTTGGCTTAAGCTACAGCCTTTCTGCTGTTAAAAAAAAAAAAGGAAAAAAGGGCAGTCTTAAATAAATCCAAGTGTTTTAGCTGAAAGTGATGCCTTTCAGTGCTGTCTGAGCCCTGAGCAGAGGAGCAATCCCAGCCTGCAGTGGCCTTTGGGCTCCCAGCTGTCCCACCAGGCTCTGCATGCACACAGGCACAGCCAGAACCTGCAGAGCAGGGGCTGAGCCAGCCAAGAGGGGTCCCCTTCCCCAGCCCTTCCAGAGTAGCTGCCAACTGATCCTGAGCATCCCCCCAGGGTGGGGACTGTGTGAACATCCATGATCTACAACCACCACCCACTCCCCTTCCTCCCGCCCTACCACAGCCATGGCCCAGGAGCCAAACTAGGAACTGCTCATTGTAATTAAGGATAGTTGTGAGACCTTTTAAAATTGAGCATCCTGCTGAGAAATCCTTGATCAGAGAGGTAAGGAACACACACTGCCTTGGGTCCTATTGAAGACACAGTTAGAGATGATGTCAGTACCATTTATGGATCCAAGGATATGTTATTTCAATAGACATTTCATGGTATCCATTATAGTTACAGATGTTGCAAGCTTCAACTATTAATTTATGTGCTCATAACCTTCCCAAAGCCAGATCACTGCTGTTCAAATGTAATTTTGTTCTCCTTTACAAAGTGTTTTAAGGGAAGGTTTTGACAAAATGTTATTTCCTGTTGCTTAGGTTAAAAGATGAAAAAGCATGGAATTGTGTGCCAATAAAGCTCTAATTATATTCTTTTGAGTATAACATACAGACAAAACAGCCCACCCAATAGCAACCACCACCCCCCCAAGTGTGGATTCCATCCTTATGAGGAGAGTTTAAACTTGGGTTTCAGGGTAGATTTAAACAAATGTCTTAATGTGCTGGAAAGCATCTCCTTGTGTGTGTGTGCATGTGTGTGTGCGTGGAAAGAGTGTGCAGATGTGGTGTCTGTCACACCCTCCTCAGGCTGTTGTCTCATCAGATGCTTATCCTAAAATATCCAGGAGGTTTTGCTGCAAGTGGTGCTGTGCTCCTGCTGAGCACTACCAAAGCAGGGCCCTGAGCAACTCTGAGCATTTTTTCTCTCCTGGTGGATGTTTCTGGCACATGACAGACCTACACCTCCAAGGCTGAAGGAGTTTTGCCCAATCCAGGGGTTTGGGATGAAATATAAGGTTTAGAAGGATAGATGTGTTGGGCTACATTCAGGGATAAATGTAACCTAGTCAGCAGTAGTTGCAATTATCCATTATGGACATTAGTGGTCAGAAACCTATGAAAATCGGCTAAAACCCAAAAAAAATAGGTAGGATCATGGCCACACTGCCCCAACCTCCCATCAGGAGGATAGCTCTGCTTGCTGTACAAAGCAGGAATTTATTTCATCTGGAGCTACTGTGCTCCCTGGGGATTTATTTGGGCAATTAAGATGACTTATCCAAATGTCTCAATATATGGATTTGCACCTTTTCATGGTATTTTTCCATCAAAGTCAGGTTTCACACCTTTCTGACTCTCAGTTTAACACCAGTGACCATCAAATCTGAGCAGTCACCTCTCTTTCAGAATTTTCTCCCAAAGAGACTGGTGTGAGTTTTGCCAATTGGAACATGATGATATCAAGTGCTCTGGAATGATAGCTGGGTGACCTTCTTAGCTGTATTTGATAAATAAATTACTTCTCTCTCTAAAAATGAGGCCTGTTCAGCTGTTCATCAAGTTCAAAGAGTTCAGCCTCATAGTTTTGAAAACGTTAGCTTGATAACACAGTGGAAAAAGTTCTGTAGCCCTGATTTGTGCTGAAGGGGGGAATTAGGATGAAATTACTGCCTTGGTTTGGTTCCATCTCTGACTTCTTTAAACTTGTTTATTTAAGCCTGTTTAAACAGTGCCTGAACCATGTCATTTGAATTAGCCTAATAAAAAACCCCTCAAGTATACATATGAAGTTTCACATAATTTATTTCTAGGGGATAATTTCAAGTTTTTATCTTAACTGCTACACAAGGGAGATAGGCTAACCTCTAAACCTTAAACTGTGATTCTTTTGTGGTTATTAAAAAAAATAGTTGTAGAGGCTGACAAAGATTTCTCTATCAATTCTGTGCTGTTTGCAAGCAGAATGTCATCTCTGTTCTAGTCAGCAGCCACAGGAGCTCAGCTGGGGCCCTGCATGTCAAGCTGAGAGCTTTTTTTCCACCATAATAAAGGTCCTGCAGGCTAAACTGCTGCTAGCTCATCAGTGACACTTCTGAAATCCCCTTGATGGGCTTACACAAATGTAAAGATTCCTCCTCAGCCGTGCTGCTGGTGGCGTACAACAAAGGTAGTTCTTCAGTCATGCTCACCCTGCTTTGTTTTCTATGTGTTTGCATGTGTGAGTGTATTTATGTGGACATCTGCGAGAATATACACAGATAAATTAAATATGGACATATAGGTAGGACAGACAGATATTTGTGCATATATTTAATGTTATTCCGTGCCTTGAAGTGAGAAGAGCAAGAAAAAGCTACTGAAAGCTTATTTTAAAAGCCTGTGGCTATGGCATCTTCACCCAATCAGAAGCTCTTAGACACAGGTGGAATTATTGGGGTACCAGGAGATTGACTTGATGATCCTGATGGGTCCCTTCCAACTCAGAATATTCTAGGATAAGCACTGTTTTCCCCAAAGAATAATTATAAAAATGAATTAGTATGTTAATTCTTACAACATAGTCCCTGCTTGTTTAGCCTTTATTTTCTTCAATTTGTAATAATCCACTCTAACCTTTCCACTTTTAAAAGACTTTGTCTCTAAACTGTGGCACCCAAGTAGGTGGTCAAGCCAATACTTTCTTTTTCCCAGCCAGACACCCTGGGAAGAAGCAGCAGATTGTGTTTTCAGGAGGTTATTGCTGGAAAGCTTTCCTGGGATTATCATCACATGTCAAGGATGATGTCCATATAAAACATAGATTTCCCAACAATACAACTTCCTTGGAAAGAAAATTTTGTTTTCTTTAGTTCACTTATTTTGAATTAATAAAGGAGTCCGTGGGGAAGGAGTCAGTTCTTCAAGAAAATACTCATTCTTATAATTACCATGTTCCTGCTTCCTCTCTAGCCTGCCAAAATTCACCATAAAGAAGAAGCGTGGTAATTAATTGTCTGCCAAGTGGCACAATTAATGTTCTGCAAATGCAGGATCCTCTAGGTGATAACAGCTGAGTTATAAAATGCCCCATTATATGTTTCAATACCAGTACAGACACACACACATGTGCTGAGAGGATGTGTTGTGTTAATTTTTATTTACTTTTTATTTAGGACACTTTGATTTTCTTTCCTTCAAAGTACTTTTTGAAGGACTTAATTTCTGTGCAATAGAGCTCATGGGCAAACACTCAGTAAAAGCAAAATAAGGAATGCAGTCATGGTTCTAAAAACATTTAATATTTTTCAAACTGATGCCAGTTGTGTGCATTGACAGTAATCCTGTCTAATCCCTTCCACATGTATTATCTTTGTGCACCTGCTTTCATTGTCTCACTTATCAGTTTTGAATACTTAGAACCACAATTTGTAGGAAGGCAAAGCAACAGAACAAAGCATCCACGCACTCACAGCTTGCTACACTGCAGTTTTGTATTGTAAAGATAAAACATAGTTTAACATTTCGGTGCTGGGAGTCAGCATCTTGCACTGAGACATTTTTCCTCCCTCCTGTCCCCGCAGCTGATGTCTGTGTGTGTTTGTGTTCCTGTTCCTTGGCAGACTGACTGAAGCACACAGAACTGCTGTGAAAATCATCAGGAGAATGCAGTATTTTGTGGCCAGAAGGAAATTCCAGGTAAGCAGCAGGATTAATCCCAAGTGCATCTCGTCAGCTTGTGGTACATTGAAGGCACTCTCAGAGGGGACTTGTCTTGGTGAAGGTGGTTGTAACAAGTCAAAGGTGCTTTTCAGGTTCTTGGATTCACCTATTGTGGATTTTTTACCGGTGTGGACAAAACTATCAGTGATCCATGCATGTAGTACGCTACAAACCCCTGACTTTGTGGAGTCAGCATCATTATTTTTTACTTCTCTTTTTTTACTGCACTTTTTTTTGGGGCTTCTGCTTGTTTAACTAACCAATACTTACCCATCCACTAGTAGAAGTGAAGAAAACACTGGTGTTGGGGTGAAAAAAACCTCTGCCAAGGTGTCTGCAAAAATACTGATCATAACAAGAATATTATCAATCATCTGATCAATTAGGGAATGTTCAGTCCCGTGCTGTGTATGGCTGACAGATCAATAGGCTTCATTGACAAGTACTATGGGTGCAAAGTTGCTTTCATAGGTGTGACTCACATTTCCAAATGTATTTCCCAGAAAGGGACCTCATAGGTCATATTTTATAAAATTGTGGAGCATCTGCTGTCTGGAAATTTGCTGTCTTTTTGAAATGTTCAGTTAATTTTCTCAATCAGGTTACAAAGTGCTCAAACTAAATGTTCTGCATTGAAAATACTGTTTCAGTTTGCCTGTTTAGTGAGACTTATGATAAATCTTGTTTGGGATGTGATCCTGATATCATCATTCTCATCATCCACGGGTTGGAAATGCTATGGAAATGAAAAATTGACTTCTGGAATGATTTTCAAAGCCCTCATTATTTCCATCTCAAGGTTCATGGTTTTTTTGTCCAAGAGGATGCACTGCAAGTTAATGCCTTTTCATAATCCTTTTGAAGAGGTTTTAAGAAAATAGAGTTTTGAGCTGAGCACTTAAATGCAAGCGATAGAAGCCTGAGATAAAATCCCAGCATTCAGAAGATTCTAAATTAGGGCAGATAGAACATCTTATATATTTCCTAATCCCATGCAAACATGTATCTTCAGAAAACTCTATCTTTTGAAAGACTAGGACAAGTCAGTTTGTTAAACTCAGCAAAAAACAGGAGAGTAGGATTATATTGTAAATATAATATATATAAATTGTCATTTTTACTATAATTTATATTGTAAATATAATTGTAAAGAAAGAGAAACACTATGGGAAATAAAGAAAAAAAAAGGAAGAAAATAGGGACATTAGTTCTGTAAAATAAAATCAGTTTATAAATGAGCTAGGTTAAAAATTAGGATATTTCAAACTACCAGAGACCTAATGTTCTGGAGCTGTCAGCCAGTGGCAGTCATGCCAAACCTTAAAAACTGAATTTCCTCAATTTATGGAGAGAATTCTGTGAGTCAGTGACAGAGTAGAAGAAGAAGGAATAATCTTTTGTTTCTTCCTTTCTTGAAAGGAAATAGAAATAGAGTTTATAGGACTTCCCATGCTAATTAGATTTTGGAAGTTCAAAGCTGGGTAATATTATTTAATTTTGCATGCTGAATGTGGAATACTGAGCTCAGATGGCCAGGATTTGGGATTGTGAACAGAATGAAAGTCAAAGGAGTTGTTCAAGTGCTGCATTTACCACACTTCTCTGGAAGCCCATTACCTCCTGGCTTCAGTTGTATCATTCTAACATTTCCAAATAAAAACATGACAGGGGATTGTGCCAAAGTTTGGCAGGACATAAGATGCCCAGATCTAAATCTTTATGGAAAAAGAGGTGGGGAAAGTGGTGAAAGCTGAAGGGAGGACTCAGGCGGATTGCAGCACTTTGCAACTGTAGGATTCGGAGCTGATTTTTTGCTAAAAGGGATAACTGTCAGAGGACTTCTTTTGAGGAGGAAAAGAAATTTCACTGGGAATGAGTGGAATTAATTATGCACATAGTAGCCCATTGGGGAGAGGGGAGAGAAAGGCTCCCCAGCACATCCAGGCTCTGCGCCATGCACGGTGTTTAAATAGAGAGTGTCCAAAGGAAAGGACATGGGATTTAGCCAAAATGCTCTCCAGGCACCCCCCCTAGTCCATCTAAAGAGTGATACTGGCACTGCTTCTTAGGGTGAAGACAATAGGCTGCTTTTCTAGCCAGAAATAATGATCTGCAAAATGTTGGGTGGTAAAGAGCTGAGGAGGGGGGAGAAAAAAACCCAACCAAAAACCGATAAGCTGAAAGCTGAAACCTCCCTCCCCTGCAAAGCCTCTGCTCCCAGATGCACTCAAATGCGTGCACACGCACCTCCACAGCCACAACTCTTCTGAAAGTATTGCTGCAGATAAGTGCTGTGTGAAGGGAAGGCATTTTTTCATTAAGAACTCTTGCTTCTTCATTCATTTCACGGGATTTGTTTCCATTCCAGTTCCATGCTTTCATTTGAAATTTCTAGGATTGTGTGGCAGCCTTCCAAGCATGACTCCAGCACATACTGTAGGTGTTCAATGCATGTGTGCAGTGGTGCATGCTAATGGCTCTGGCTGAGGCTGACAGAGTGCAAACAGACAACAAGATGACTAATGAGCTGTTTTCAGTAATTTTCAATTACTAGATTTGCAGTTTACCTTTGCTTTTTTTTCTCCCCCCTCCTTCTCTTCTTGAGTCAGAGCCAAAAAGGGAGACATTTTGTCCCACATTTCCCACAAGGGTTCTCAAAATGCTGGGCTTTCCAACAGGCCATGATTTGTGTTGATACCTCCCCACATACATTGATTTTACTTGCTAAAATTTCACCATGCTGCACGTTTTATAACCACGTCACTTTCTGCAAATTCTCCAGACTTGTTTCAAAATCTGGCTGCAGTAGCTGCAGCAAGAAACCAAAGCTTGGCAGAAGCACCTGGATTCTCATTAGGATGGGAATATAGCTGGGCAGGTGGGATTTTTTTCACTCTCTTGCAATTTTTTATCTATCCTTTTTGTTTTAATTGCACCTTTTTTTCTGATCTCAAACGTATCATGAAAGACAAAGGAGGACAGACAAAACCCACATGCGGCAGTCTCCTGGCTTATGCAGAGCATCCGTCTTCCCTGTTCCTCAAGCAGCAATATTTCTGTCACCAGACATCTCTGGTCTTCAGAAATGTTTGATTCTGGGTCCAAGCGCTCTGAGTTGGGCCAGTCCCTGGGGTTCAGTCTCCTGACATTATGATTAACACATGGCTTTGGAAGGAGCCAGGAGATACTGTACATGGGAGTCCCAGATAAATTATCCATCTTAGGTTCGTGTTTCCCAAATACACTGTGAAGGGCTAATATTTTGCTCAGTGTGGAGTAACACGAAGACATGACTCTAACTGACAGTAAGGGGAATCATTTGGCTACACCTCCACAACAAATATTCACTCCCACAATGGCTGCGTATTTTTTTATTCATTACAACAACTGTTGCAAAATGACAGGCAAATAGGCAGATAAAAAGACAGAATGAAGGCCTGTCTGAAATAGAAATCCAGTTTGGACAACACTAACCTTTCAACTTGCTGCCTGCCTCCTTTCCCAGCAAGCTCGGAAGCCGTACGACGTCCGTGACGTGATTGAGCAGTACTCCCAAGGACACCTCAACATGATGGTTCGCATAAAGGAACTTCAAAGGAGGTGGGACCTGTCTACCTCATGAAATATCTGATTCCTCTAGTGCCAGCTGGCTGTAGGAGAGATGTGTTCATAATGAACAGGAATTGTCCAAAATTGCAAGCGCAACAGGGAGCACAATATCTAGAGGATTTAACTTGGAGCCATTTTTAACCCTTTTTATGACCAAATTTACAATTATTCTTTATTCTCCTCTCCTTTTTCACCAAGTGGAATTAAAATAAATGAAGGTGCATGCTGTGAAATTTATAGTGTGATCCAAACTGTTCTCTCCTCTTCTTAGAAAAGGAAAATTTTTCAAATAATGATTTACCTTTCTGTTTCCCCACTGTGGTTCTCCACAACTGTGAGAAATCTGTTTTGCTTGTTCTACTCTATCTGGAACTTTCCCCCTGCCCACATTCCTCTGTGTACATGCTTTCTCCAGGTTTGGGGTTTCCAGCTGAAATATTTTGCCACAAAACTATTCTCTTCTGTTTTTCTCTTTCAAAGTGATTTTCTCTTTTGCAAATTAATGCTGTGGACTGGGACACCAGAATGAACTCCCCTGGCACTTAAATGAAATTTTAAAAAAATCCTATTGAATGGAATCTACTGTGTCAACATATACAGATATTAAATCAGCCTGCATGAGGCTCTAGGAATAGTTGGAAATGTTATTAAGTAATTCTGTTTGTATAGTCTTTGTTATTGGGTTGCATAGGACACAGGATGACTATGTTTTAGTTACAACTTGAAAGTCTGAGAAATATTAGTACTCACAAAAATAACAATAATAATATGGTTTGATTTTGGAGGAAAAACTCTTAAAAAGCTAAACTGTTGACTGTGTGTGCAGAAAGTCATGCTAGTCTCATGTTTTTGCTTGTTTTGGTTTGGGTTTAGAGCTACTGTAAATTTTCATGTAAATTATGCTCCCGTGTTTAGCAACAGAGTTTAAGTTTTTTGGTAATTGCTCTGCTGGTAATTTTCTGTTTGCTTCTCAGGCTGGATCAATCCTTGGGAAAGCCAGGTCTTTTCCTCCCAGGTATGGTGACTGCATTTTATGCAAAATTATTATCTTTGTAACTTTGGGAAAATACCCTTGGCTACAGTAATGTGGATTTATAATCCAGCCAATCATACATGAACAAATGCCTCTGTAAAGATAAATACATTTCATTCAGGTGGTAGGGGAGTAAATGGAAATTAAGAATAAATGTTAAAATGTGTATTAGAACATGATGAGATGGAAATATCCTGAGGGAAATCCTTCTACAAAAATAGCCTTTCTATATCTTTTGGTCTGGGCCTGGGATTACAGTGTGTTTATTCCACGTAAAAAGGTTTCCTCCTTCCTGAACTCATGTCCCGTATCCACAAGTGACTTGCAGCAAAACTGAGGGTGGTGAAGTAATTTCAGAGCCTCTAAAACATGGCATGTTGTCAGTGGTTAATATTATCAGAACAAGGAATATCATTCAAAACACATTTTCAACATCTGATTGCTGCAGAAGGCTCAGTTGTACAATCCTTTTTCCCTGTAGCTGGTTTTGGACCACAGGAAAAGAATCAGTCAGCTTGAATATTTCTATAAATATTTATGCATGGGAATTCATTCCACAATGTGCAAGCTAAATTTATGGAAAAACCAAGAATGTATTATTTCATTTCAAGTATAGCATTACCAAACTGAACCTGCAATTTGTGCTTGAAAAGACCAATGTTAGAAGCACTTTTTATCGAGAAGTTTCTGGTTTCAGAGGAGGTGAATAATTAGAAGCTCATTGTAAAATAATGTTCTGAGAGGTTCAAGAAGCTGAAGATGTTCAGGAAGTTTGGTCTCACCAAATCTTGAGTCAAAAGGGTCATAGAACTCATTGGGAAGGTCTTAGGTGGGCCTGTGGCTTTGGACAAGTGTTGGAAAAAACCTTAAGTACAAAGGAACTTACTGGAAAAGGTAGAATGGTGGTTAGGGATGCAGAAGCTGGTGAGCTCAGTTAGGGAGTTGCAAGACCAAAACCAGAAGTTATTTGATCTAGTAGTTATTTTATCTAAACCCTCAACAAATCCAAAAATAATATAAGTGGTTACAGAGAAATGGTCTGCAGAACTAAACCTAGAGTTTTCATTTGCTCCTGGAGTTATCCAACCTGCCTTTACTCCCAGGATTTTCCAAGTGGTGAACAGTGAAAAATGGGTACAGTATTTGTTTATTTGGGGTGAAAATAGACTATTGTACTCTTCTTCTCTAAAAAAAGGGTTATCCCTGAGTTTCCCTCAGAATGCATGGTTTATTATATATTGAACATGGATTTTTTTTATACAATACTTTTCTAGGCATTGCTAAAATTCTCATTTTTAACAAAATGGGTGTTTCCCCTAGACTGTGTTATTTTTGTACTGATGACAAGCAAAAAAGAAGTGACAATGCAAAGAAAATTAAACTGCCAATAAGAAAAACATGAAAAGAATTTTCCTTTCCAGCTCCTTTTATTTTTTTCCTTGTTTTATTATACTTCCATTCAAAGAATCTTAAGGTCTGATTCCAAGCCCATTGACATGAACAGGACTCTTTCCAGTGACCTCAATGGGGTTTGGATCAATTTTTTTATTGAAAAGTCCCTGTTGTGGACTTTGATAATATCATATAAAAGCAATTGCAGCCTGTCTGTAGTATTATTACCTTTCAAAAGTGAATGATGTCATAAAAGACCCAGAATCTGAATTCATTGGAAGCAATTATTGTTATTTTTCAAGTTAGTTTCTCTGAGATAAAAAAGCACTAAAAGCTGTGTTAAAACAAGATAAGCATACGAGAAGAGAATAAAAGCCATGCTGGGTCAGAGCAGTCCTGACTCCAATGGGGCCAAGAGCAAGGTGCTTTGGGAAATGTGTAATAAAAGCCTCCAGCCTTCCTGTCAGCTTTCAGCCCATTGCACATGAGAGGCTTCCTGACAAGGTTGCAGCGTATTTAGTCTCCAAAACGGTTTGTCCTCAACAAATTTGCCTAATTATCCCTTTAAACTTACAATATCTGCCATATTTTTTACAAAGAATTCTAATAATTCCACTTTCACGTGTACATATTGGGAAGAATTCTCCCTTTTTGCTTGTTTTTGTCTTGGCATCTCTTCCCTTTCTTTGAAACTCCTACAAGGAGGAGTGGATTTAAAAACACTAAGATAATGAATCAATCTTCCAAGGACCTGGACCCTGCTTTTATGAGTATATTCAGAAGACTCTCTCTGAGTTCCATTGGAAGCCTGTCCCAGTGTTCCAGAGGACACAATTTTGTCAGATGAAACAGATTTCTGTCACAATAAACATATGCCTTAATAATGGAAAGTGTTGATGTAGAGGGAAAAAGCATATCATTTGAATTTATGGAATCAACAAGTTACACACATACAGTGATACAAATAAAGAGTGTCATGCTTGACCTTCACTACACACGATGGAGTTAACTGCTTTTGAATGCAATCTTTGAGACTTACTACAGCTTTTCAGGAGCAAAGGTGAAGAATAATGCCAAGGTAAAACAAAAGATTCAGTGTTTGGGTTCAGAAAAGTACACAAAAAGCTGATGTTTATCTGCAGTTTATCTGAACCTCTTGGTTCTGCATGACACGGGTGGGAATGCCTGAAGAAAAGGTCTTTCTTGCAAAATTTTGACCATTCCATTGTTTGCTTTTTTTCCATTAAGTTCCACCTAAGCTTTGTGATACTTTTCCCTTCCCGTCTGTTAAAAAGAAATTGGGTCACTGCATCTTTTAAAGCATAATGAATATGCTCAGCTTAAAAAGCTTAATTTTATCTTTTTTAAGTCAATTAATATTTGAAATGAGAGATACCCATATTTCTGCAGGAACTGATTTATCCCACCCCTCCTGGAGATGAAAATGTTTTAGCAGTTTACTTTTTAGGCTGTCCAAAGGAAATCACAAGTGCTTGATCCAGGTATGCCTTACCTTTCTTTAATTTCTTCTATCAATCAGCTGTAAAAGGTTCTGACTGACGAGAAAAGAGACTCCAACTAAAAGCCGCCATGACTGAGGCAACTTTGTTATTTGCTGATTTTTGGGTGTAAAGGGACAATCCTGACCTTCTTTTTCAACAGCTTGCACTGTTTACAAACCCAAGAATCCAGATCTTGCCATAAGCTCATCACAATCATCCCTGGATGGAGCGTTGGCAGAGCTGGAGCAAACCCAGGTGCAGAAGGCTGCATTTGCACCCAGGTGGCACAAAGAAGGCAGCGGTGCCTCCTGGGCTGTTCTGCTTTCTGGGATACCGTTCACAAAGGTTTGGGCTGTCTTCAGCAATCCCGAATATCCGGTCAATTTCCTCATTTTCTGCTTAAAAGAAGCTGATGGTTTTCAGAAAAAAAAAAGAATATTTTTGAGTTAGCTCTCCTCTTACTGTGTAAAAATCAAGGAAGAACTCTTGCTTTATAAAGCAGAGTCATTTCCAGCTTTTACCATTTTCAGACCATCTCTCTGCAATTCATTCACTATCCTAAAGGTGACATAAATACTTTTCCCTAACCAAAGGATAAAAAAATATTTTCTTTAAAGATTGGTATATTCTGATGAGACGTAGCACTCTAACTGTCTGGAAAAAATAAGATTAAGGTGCCATTCCTCCTTTGACTTGCTTTCTTCCTCCTGCTCATATCAGGTTTTGCTATTTATATCATGTGCTTTCATCTGGGGAAAGAGTTATCATCACTTGAACTGGTGTGACGCAAACATAAAAGTGTTTGATGTTTTTATTTTTTGGTTTGGTTGGTTGGTTTGGTTTTGTTTTTTTTTTTTTTATTTTTTTTGCAAGAGGCATGTCTTGTTCTTCACTAGGAAAATAGATGGGCCAGCTTTGTGAAAATATTAGGAAATTAATATAGGATTGTGTTGTTTGAAAGTAGAATACTCAAGAAAAAAAAGACTTCCAGAGAAGAAATGTCCATATTAATAAATATATGTTATTATTATTAATCTGTATTAACAACTATTCAGTCTCCTGAATTAGAATGCCTATTGCTTATTTACTAGTTTTTTCTCAGATTCAAATCTAAGTATGTAAAATAATAGGTTTGTATCATACCAACCATGTGATGCAAGATGTTTTGGGGTTTTTTTTTATTTCTGAGATAAAATTTTCCCGTATATATTTTCATCCAGCTATAGGTAATTGTGCTTCCTTTCATCCTTTGTCTCTGTGCCTTTCCCATAAGTGTTACAGGATAGCTTAGTTGATCTCTGTTTTAGTGCAGCCCAACACAAAGTAAAAACTCAATACTAAAGGGAAGTTATTTTGGATTACAAAGCGTAGACTGGAGAAATTTAGACATTGCATATGCAATATTTTCAACTCTGTAAAAACAAACAATCTAATGTAGGAAGTCTCAAATCATCTATCTAGAAAATACTCAAGAGAGAAACAAAAAAATGAGCTAGAAATCACACATACTGGAGCGACTTTATCTGAACTTACCCCCGTGCTTGGGGAATTGTGCACACAGCACATTTGCTCTTAACAATGATCTCGATTAGAAGGAAATGCTTGTAAGTGAGGGCTGGATGCTGTTCCCCTGGAGGCTGATAAGAAACGGAGGAGGAGCACAGCATTTTGTGACTTTCACAGCCTGCGTGCCGGCACAGGGGTGCATGAGACACAGCTCCCTCCATGTGCATCATTCCTTCCTTTTCTGTTTTTCCACATCTTATAACAGTGTCACATGCCACAATACAGCTTCTTATCTGCTTATCTGCTCCCTATTTTCTTCTGTTCCACATAGCTTTCAGGAACAACTAAAATAGGAAACACTATTAACTTGGTTTGGGATGTCTTGGTGATTATCTGAAGGATGGAATTAGAGCTGGTGAGGAAATGATTATTTTATTATTTAGAAAACGAAAAAGCTTTTTGAAGTATTTCTTCAGGTTTAGAGGACTTACTGGGGTTAGACCTAAACACACTGCTGTTTAAACCACATCCCAATTTAGAAATCTTTAAAGTCATGGTTTTTTACTGATATATACTTTGAAAGATGTGTTTGCATATTTACTAACTAGAAAGTAGACATCAGAGCCAATTATTTCATTTTAGGCAGAGAGGAACACAGAGATAAACATGAGTCTCAGCTGCTTATATTTTAAGAAGTTTCTAAGGTTGTGAATGATGAATAGTACACAGGTATGAGCCAAGCTGTGTCACTTTTTGTCTGTCCCACATTTTCTTTCCTGATTTTATTTGCTCCCGAAGGTTCTCTGGGGAAACACTTCTCTTTTCTAAGCCTGCAAAGACCTGCCAAGGGTAGAGGACCTTTTAAAGGTTCTGGGTGGTATGTGGAGGAGAAGGAAAGCACAAAGTGCTCTTGCCAGCACTTCTTTTGCTGGTCGTCCTCTGGGGTTGTGGTGTGTGCAGCACAAGTTACCTTGAGGTGAACTTTGCTGCAAACAGATCACTAAACATATCCTGGAGCAAATATAAATGGTAAACCAAATATGACTCCCTGAGAAATCCAGGAATGTGATGAGCACACACAGGCACTCGCTGTGAACTCTGACACAATGTAAATTCATATCTCAGCCTACCTTCCTTCATATCTCAGCCTTGTTCATGCTCTCAGCAAAATTGACTCAGTTGGCTTTAAAAACCAGGCCTTAATCACTCATGAAACTGGAGCAATGCATGCAAAAATCCAGGAGTAATTACTCCAGGTATTGACAATATACTTTATTAGAAAAAAACATCCACCTTCCATTGGCATCAGCTTGTAAGTTATTTCAGTATTGTGCTGTGGGTTTTAACTTGTGAATGTAGTCTCCCAACTCAGAATATGTGTGGGTTTTTGCTTCATTCCCTGTCCAATAACACCCTCAAACTATGGCATTCCTTAGCAATAGATCCTGTGAACAGAAAGCACAGACCCCATTTTCTACAGTTTTCACTTCTAGCTCCCAATCCCACCGTTTGCAGTGGAATGTGGAACTGGGCTTTAATAAGCAGGCCTCATAAAAAGTAGGAGGGAAAATGAGGATGCAAGAGCTTTTCCCAGTGTCATTCCTTTGTAAAGAGGAGATGGATGGATGGATGGATGGATGGATGGATGGATGGATGGATGGATGGATGGATGGATGGATGGATGGATCTCTGCCACTCCAGCCCTTGAAGCCATGGATGTGCTGCCTCCTAGACAGGCAGCCCCAGTTGAAAACTATCCTGATTTCTTTATGGATAGCAAGTTTACCTTGCTCAGGCCAGTAATATTCAAAATTGCAGATGGGCCCAGGTACCTTGCCCATTCCATCCAACTACTGAAATAATTAAACAACAAAACAATCCATCCAGACTCCATCTATACTCCTTCATGTCTACAGACTACCTCTACCAAGGTCCAAGTTGCCCTTTAGACTAACTTAATCTTGTCAGTCTGACAAATTAATCCCCTTCTCTCCAGCCACTCTCTTTCCCTTGTTTCATTCTTTCTTGTTATGTTCATGTATTTTATTCTACCCTACTATTACCAGCCTTTTTTTTTTTTTTTTACTTTGAATGCCATAGGTATAATTCATAGTTTGAATTTATTCTCCACCTAATGAATGTCCCATTTTTATTCTTCTTTCTTTAGAAAAAGGGGTAGACAAAGGATACTACAGTATAGGAGCCAGACTGATCCGGCTGGAGGATAAGGTAAGGGCATGAAAGCTTGTTTTTTTTTTTTTTTTCCTGAGCAATGATATCTGATCTAGAGACCTGCAAGATGGTATCTTGGCATGATTTACTTTAGAATTACAGGCTCCATAATAATGAATAATATCCTGATTTTTGTGAGGGAGTTGATGAAGTTTCATGTGTGTTGTTCAGCATTAACCATTTACCTGCTATGCAGTCCTGGTTCTTGTTTGAAAAAGGAGCTGCTTTCATGTTGAAATCAAACCACACACCTTGTATACAAGTGCTGTGAACTGGCTGGTATTTGTCACACAAGAATTAGTGAATTAAATGTTAGAATCAGGAAATGTTAGTGTCAGGAATCTTTGTGAATCGCAACAGTTGACATTTCATTTACAGATCCTGAGATTCTTTCATTTTACTGCATTTTTTTGCCCTGTGCAGTTACCTATGCACATTTTCTGCCCCTCCCTCACTGTCTTTTCCCCAGGAATATGTTCATCTTTGTTATTAATTAGAGTTACTTAGCAGTGTGCCCAAAGTCCAAAGCTCAGTGATCCAGGATTATTGTCTCTCCCAAACAACATCCAGAGCTTTTTCCACTCAAGTGGTAACAAAAATACAAGTTTGCTCAAAACTCAGACTCTATTTATCTAACAGTGTTTTAGTCAGCTCTCTTACCTACCTCTGAAAGTTCATGTCCCTCCAGCAGGGTACTTTGTGTGGGCAGGAGCTGTACAGTGGCTTTGCTGGGGGGGTGTGATGGTGCTGAGACAAAAGTCCATTTGAATTTGGTGTATCCACTGCCTGTTTGTATCCTTGTCTCACTCAAATTTGTCATGCAAATTATCTTTTCACTTTTTTCTTGGGAAGTGAGGTGAGAAGGAAAGAGGAAAGAAATTTCTCATAATTGTTAAGAGCTGTGCACCTTGCCAAAACACAGAAATTGAAATTAAACTAATACAATCAAAAATCACATTTTCAATGATGATTACTAGAACAACATCGGACATATGTGACAGTGCACTGTCAAAGGACAGATTTTCTTTGGTTTTTAGCTTTCTTGCACAGTGTCAGAGAATCAGCCTATCAGATAAAGACATTATCTGAGCTAATTTTAAGGTGGATTGATCCCTTGTGCAGCCACAACTGTTCAAAGTGAAAATGGCTTTCATTCAGATCGCCTTACTCACTTTGAAAGAGATAAATTGCTCTCTGGTCTTCGTATATTCTGTAAATTCATACGACAGCTTCATTCAGACTTCTTGAATGTGCATATAAAGAGAAACCCCCAATACAGATTGGAGATGTAGCAATAAAAGTATCTGTAATAATGGAGTGCTTTGAGTGAGAAATTCTGCTGGTATTGTAAATACCTCTGGAAGCAGCAGTTCATGGTCTCCTGACTTTTCCATATTTATGAAGAAGAGAGGTGAGAAAGTTTTTAGTGTGTCTGGCCTTGGTACAGCTTTAGCAGAATATGCTGTGGCTTTGATCAATTTTATTTCAAAGCCTGACTTAGACTGCTGCAGAGGCATCTTTGTATAAGAAGAGGAATGTTAGAGGAGATGCAGGAAATGCTGTGGTGACTGATCTCTGTTGCAGATACCTACTTGTGTTCTGCCTTTAATTTAGGCATGGTCTAAATAAAGTCAGTGCAACCTCAAGCCATTAGTGGGCAAGACCAAGCTGCTCTTTTGTGTAAATAATTAAACTTTAAATTTTGCATGGGAACTGGTGATTTCCCCCTCTCTCTACTTATTGTTGTGGAGAAAACACGTAGCAAAGAATAAAAATGTGTTAAGATGTTTTCATAAGATGAGTCAATCATTGCAGCTTCCTTTTTGTTCTCAAACCAAACTGCAAATGTAAAATAAATGCCAGACAGAAGGAACCCAGGCCATTTGATCTTTTAGTACAAATTATCATTCTTTCATGTGTACAAGGCTTCAGCCTCATATCCCTGTTAGGTAGACATAGTGCCGAAGAAGGGCAAATATTTGTTGTGTTGGTTTGCTTGAGGTTTTGGTGGCGTAAATTTGGGGGTGTTGATTTGTTTGAGGTTCTTTTTGTATTTGCATCTTTTTGGCACATCAGGCTAAAATACGTATGTTTACATAATGAATACAAAGTTAATCTTCCCAGCTATCTCAGCTATCTTTGTTTTAATGGGACAATAGAAACTACTGCATCCTGCTGTCAGACTGCTTCCCTAAGTTATTTTCCCATGTCTCATGGGCTCTCCTGCTCTAACAGTTCACTGTGTAGTAACTACTGTGTGTCCAAATGTGAAACAATATTGGAATTGGGAAGGACAAGCTGAGGTTCAACCTCTGAGGAGAATAAATGAAGCAAGGGCATGTCTGACATCAGGCTTCAGCTAGTGGTAAAAAATGACACCCCCCCCCCCCCCCTTGGAACTGGAAAACCTTTGGGATCAATCTCCTCCCCTGGAGAAATTATTTTAACATTCAGTCACCCAGTCTAGTCTTTTGGCAGCCTCCCAAAAGAGTGACCCATCTGATAAAAGGACACATTTTTGGACAAAGGCCAGTTGGTACAGACTGATAAAAATGCAATGTGGATTTGAAGTGTTATCTGCCTAAATGATCTGTATCAATAAGCAATGAGCACACCTCTGGTCCAGACTGACCTTCCCCACCAGCATTTTGCAGTTCATTTGTTTTAGCTGCCTCTCTTGAAGGGAATCAGAGTGTAACAAACCCATTGAGAACTGTGTGTTGTTCTGCATAAAGCCATAATTACTCTTTTTGCAAAGTAAGGGAGAGGGAAGCACACATTTCTGATGGTTAAGATGAACTCCATTCCCTGGAGAGGTTTTCTATTATTTCAGTAAAAACATAGCATTTGCTGTAATGAAAGACAGAGGCGCAGGTCTCTGGTGATAGGTAGAAGGTTTGAGGCAAAAATGTTTCAAAGACACAAAGGTAACAGCCTTACATTCATGTGGCATGAGAGCACTGCATGCAGCCTCTCTTTTGTGACCAAACAGGCTCCTTCTGGAAATTTGAAGTAACAGGGAAGAGGTGAGAACCAGTTTGCAACTCCAGCAGAAAAAAATAGTCTCCTGTTTTTTGCCTGAAAGCATTGCAAAGCTGACTAAAAACAGGTAAAATGCATGGTGGTAGCTCTCAGGCAAAAAAAAAAAAAAATCCAAATCCTTTTTGGCATCAATGTTGTTCATGGCTTCACTCCTCTCATTGACATGGCACACTGCATAGTGTGAGTTTGCCTGGAACACTTTTCAACCTGTTTTTCCTTGAGCAGGGCATAAAATTCTTATTTGTTGTGTAATAACCTAGTAACCAAAGTAATAACTTAGTGTGGTTCTTTTCACATAAAAAAAAAAAAAAAAACAAAAAAAACCCAACAAAAAACCCACAAACAAACAAAGAAACAAAACTGAGATATTTGGAGAAAGAATGAGGCTTCCTTCCCAACATGTGATGTGTGCCATTTGGCCGACCCCTCCTTCAGTTCCATGGCAGAGTCTAATTTTATATTGTGGTATGTAGCCATTGACAGATCCTTTTGAAATGTATTAAGAGGGAGATTGGTTCCAAAATGATGTTCTAGAGCTGGTGTTAGTTTCTTTTCAAAATTGTAAACTAATGCTTCTTTATGATGAAATGGGTATTCTTTCTTTTCCTTTTCTTTTCAAAATTAGAAACAAAAATCATGGTGTGCTATGTCAAACTGCATGGCAACCTATAAATAAAAACAGGAGAGAAAGAATCTGCAAATGAAAGGTTAGAAAGGACAGCTGTGTTGTCTTTGAAAAAGAAATCTATTAGGTATTTTTATAATTACATGGCAGTCTTTTTTATGTGGTATTTACAGTTATGATTTACGTCCATATTACCATAACTATTTCCATACTTACAGACAACATGTGATAATACTGAGAGCCAAAAGCAATCATTTGGTAGCATTTAAAAAATGCAGGAACACTAAGAGAAAACAGGGCAATAAAGCAGAACCCTTCTGAGTTTTATCCATCTGCGTAATGCAAGCCAGGACAAAAATGTCATCCAACATAAACAAATGTAGAGGTTGGATTGTGGTGGTAAACTCTCTCTTTACTAATTTAAACACCCGTTTTTGAGTTGGAAGCTAAAAAGATGGGCTCAGAGAAGAGTGGTAACAATGGAGAGATGGATGTTGGTGAATCTGATTCCTGCTGTGATTACATCAGGAGTCATTAAATAGTAAATTATTTATCATGGCAGTGCCTGGAAGCTCCACCAGCTTGAAAAGTTGGTAAGAATTTCCATTCTAAACCCCTAAGTTTTGACTGGGGTGAGGGGCATAACTAAAATGCATTTTAAAAATAAAAGGAAGAAAAAAGAAAAACAAACGCTGAAAATTTGTGCATGATGAGTTAGTTGCAATATGAGCATGCTACACTTTTGAGGTTTCAAGAATATGTCTGAAACAACACCCTTTGTTACCAAAATTGTGTTTTGGCACCAAGGTGTTTGTGGGTTGTTTGCCCCCAGTTCCTAAAAGATGGAGACATTCCATAACAGAAAACTGTTCAGCAAACTGCTTGCAAATGGATGTTGTGGGGATTTTCTTAGGTCAAAGCCTTATCTCATTTACTCTGGAGCAGTCCAGCATAAATCCATTGACTCTGTGCCATAAGCATGATGTCATTAGAGTTTTATTTTTAATCTGTTGCTGAATTAAAACAAAACAAAAGTAAGGAAAAACTAAAGCCTGATGCCTCAAGCCAAATTGTGCTTCCATTTATGCCAGTGAAATGACTCAGGATTTATGCAGGTGTAAATGGCAGCAAATTTCTTAAATGGCTTTAACAAGATTGCAGCTCCTGTGTTCACATCCTGCTCATCAAGAGCAAGTTGGCAGAGATGAGGTGAAAGCAGAAATAGGGACTCAAACATTTCAGAATTAATCTGAGTGAAGTCATGTTTTTCACCTATTATGACTGAGGGAATCTTTGTGGTATGCTGGGTATTGTAGAACTGAAATTGTAT